GGTCAGCAGTGTGTTGCATGGCACTTAATATGTTGTTGTAACTCATGAAAGGTAGTTCCTTGGGGACACAGAATTCAATGACGAGGAAACTTAAAAGGGAGTATTTCAGCTGTTAGTCAAGAATGGTGGTGGTTCCATGTAAGAACTTTTAACAGTACATCCAGTATGCCACACTGGGAGTTTCTACATATTTGTTTTAATTTATGTACAGATGTAGTCCTCATTATAAACAGTTCTGCTTTACTACAGTAAACCATAAAGGTTTCGAATCTTTCTTTTCAAACTGTTTCTGGTTCAGTGAGCTTAGCTCTGTTTTCAGATTCGTGTCCTTGTGCCATTGGACAGATTGTTCTGCAAATGCAAGTGAAAAAAGAAAATCATAGAAAGCATTCACAGCACTTTTTAAAAAAAATGATCCTCATTAATCAAAGATGTATATCTTTGGAGGAGCTCAGTACAACCAGAAGAGGAAAGGCTTTTTGGTCTTCTTCTTTTTTTTTTTTTTTTTTTTTTTTAAGACTGAACAATACTTTAATACCTTTAAGACGATAGTGCTTGGATTTGTAAAATCGTAGGTATTTTTTAGATGCATAGATGCATCATCTTAAATTGCGCACTTTCTTTTCTATCCAGATTAGGCTTTTCTGTCTTAAAAATCTCTGTGCTGTGTTATGTAATTGGTCAACTGGGTCTTTTTAATGGACAAGATTTATTTTAATAATAGCTTCCTGGAGAAAAACAGCTTCAAACAAACACTAATGCAACAGCTGCTTCTGAATTTCATCTGGATTGTGGCACATACACCACTGCACTGAGTGGCCGGGCATGAAGGAGCAGCTGCCTTCCCTAGTGAAACTGTTAGGTCCTCTGCTGCTGACAAACACATTTGTATATTTAGGATCACACCTTAGAAAAAATAAGGAGCAACAGCTTCCCTCTCTAACCTGGTTTGGGTGGCAGTAATGCCACTCCTGCCCCAAAGCAGAATGATGATGTTCTGCTTTCTACAGGCATTTAAAAGCAGGCACTGTCCGTTTGTTTTAYAGTGATAGCATCACAGCATTTGGCCCTTCAGAAGTCTGCCTTAGAGCAGTGCACGCACTGGAGTATGTACTTTTGCAAATTGGTCATTTTAGATAAGAATTACTAAGCACGTTGGGTATCAGATCAGCTAATTATCTTTGGATAACTTTGACAAATTCCCCGTGGAGCAGTGCACCCCGCCAGCTGTGTCGCAGCGGGGGCTGTGAGCTTCCGCTGGGGAGCACCAAGACCTTTTTACTTCTGGAGATGGGAAAGTGCTTTAAAGATGTTAATTAGCTGCAGATCACAAGCACCCCTAGGATGCAACTAGATATTAACATCCCTGTTCTAAACTCCGGCAAACTGAACCCCAGGGCCTTCATAACCTTAGTGCTGGTGAATCAACGGGCCTAAACTGTTGGAACCGCCTATTATTCCCACTGGAGATGAATGCTCATTTTATAAACTGGAAGCACCGAAGATGCTTGATCTTCTCAACAAAGTGAAATCAGTATTAAATACATAACAGCTAAGAACTTAGCGAGAAATCAAGGCCCTATTAGTGCAGCAGCATGACTCAGATACATTACTGAAGAAGCATGGTTCAATGAGCTGTCATGTATGGGCCAATTAAAAGCCTCTCGGGTAATACATTTTAGTTTRTATTAGTGACAGGCAGGAAAAGGATCCTCAGTTTACTGAGAATCRCAGTGGATATCTGATAATCCAGAAACATGCAGCAATGTAAACCTACATTTTGATTCCAAAGCTCCAGATTTTGTAAAACCTTGTGGTAACAAAACGAGCTGACAGCACAAGTAGGAATAGAAATGCAGCTTTTGTTTCTTATGATGGTGCTCTAACCGAAAGCGTGTACTGTCTGCCTGTACGTGGAGGAGGAAAGCGAGGATTTACATGGAAAGCTCTACTGTTTAAAGTGTCAGGCATACTAAGTCACCTGGATAAAAGGCAGCAGGATTTTCCTTACTAATGTTTTGTTTCAGGTGAGTCCCAGGACACTCAAAAATCTTTACATTAGGATATTTTCYTTCATATTTTTACTGCTATTGTCTCTTTTTTTTTTTTCTTTTTCCTTTTTTTGAGGAGTGTCAGTTAAGTGTTTGAATATCTCGAGTTTAGAGGATCTGCTGTTRTGCCTTTACGCAGTCTCAACAGTTTTGCTACCTCTGTATGACCTACAAGGAAATGATAAGGCTGGAGTGGTCCACGGAGTAAATATGGCTTATGGAAYAGACACAGTTATTTAGACTTCATCAAAGCCAGTACAGGCTGTTCCACTGCTGGAGCTCCAGTTGCTCTTTATGGGTTAATAATCTATGCAGAGCTGACATCAGTAGTTTGTTCCTACTATCATAACAGTATGGTTCTCAGAATCACAGAATGTTTAAGGTTGGAAGGGACCTCTAGAGATCATCTAGTCCAACCTTCCTGCCCAAGCAGGGACACCTAGGGCATGTGGCACAGGGGTTCTCAACTTTCTCAACTTTCTTTAAAGAGTAATATGTAGGAAATTCCCGTTATTTTCTCAGCACAGCTGGTATTTTCAGATATTAACTGTAAAACTTCAGAGARGGACTCCTGGTTTATATGGTTAGCAAGGTATTTTCATTTTCAGTATTTCACGTTAGGCTTTTCCTTGAATTATCCTGTGGCAGTGGTTTATTTTCCCCTGATCTAAGCTGGAGTGTGAATGAAGAATGTGATTCCATTCAGAAACAACTTCTTGGCACCCGGTAGGTAGAGGGTGTGAAGGATCTGAGCAGAACAAGGTGTTAAAGGATGAATATAGTGGTTTTTTTTTTTTTTTTTTTTTTTTTGTCCTGCCAGGAGATTCACAATAAGACCCACGGCAGCTCTGCCTCAAGTCAGAGTGATACTCAACATTTTCTGAAGCCAAACAACACTGCACTAATCCTTTGTACTTATTTTCCAGGGGGCTAGAGGGGGATTTTAAATGGCTAAACATGTTTGTTCAGAGATTAAAAGGATAGCCATCCATTTAAGTACACAATGTGTTTACAATGACAATGCTTCTGAAACAGAGTGATTTCCAGCATTTGTTTTCTGCATGAGCAAAGTCTTTCTCGCTTAAAAAGAAACTACTCAGAAAAACAAAAACAAAACACAACCAACCAAAATAGAAACAAAAAATATTAAGTGAAGAGTAAACATCTCTCTACAACCAGTCACAGAGATTTTTGGGGAGAATCTAATGATCTTGGGGAAAAAAATCAATCATTCCAATTTAGTTTCAACATGCACCACTTTTATTGTATATTGATTTCCACCTTCACAATCAGCTACACACCAGAAAGTGAGATAGGATGGTGACCCACGTCCCTGCTTTACCAGTATCAGCTTTTACAAAAATCCATACTGTGACACAAAACTGAAATAAAAATTATGAAGTTTGTCAAATTAAATTGCAAGGCTTTAAAATTAAGGAAAGAAAGATTTGATATTTTCTTTTTCAAAAAAATCTTTCCTTTGAAGAACTGTGTTTTATCTTTGTGTTAAATACAAGAGTAGCTAAACAGTAAGTAGTAAAATAGTAGTTAAATACAATATTATGTTTCTTGATGAGGGGATGGACTGTTTCCACCTGACTTAAACATACCAAGAAAGTTTTCCAGCACCAGATSGGGCCAAACTAAAGGATTTTACAGGAACATCAGTAAGCTCAGTAGTTCAGGCCTTAACCATTAYAGACAAAGAGGAGGCTTAAAAAGATAAATTTATGGTAGTCAAAGCCTGCACACCAGCTGATCAGTGCATTTTAAGGGCAGGAAAATTGCCCAAGTTTGTAGTTTAACCCAATTTTGAATTCCGCCTGGGAGAGTTACTCTGTAAAGTATTTTGCACTGACAGGCCAGTCAAGTGTTTGCTCACCAATGGTCTTTGATTGCTTAAAACTATGTTTCATAACTAAGTACTAGCTAGTAGTAAGTAAACTGTTTTCCCAGTAAATAAGTTTGGATACAAATCCAAGCTTTAGCCCAAAAGTTAAGGCTGCTCYGAAACTGGATCCTGAATTTGTCCTCCTAACAGTTTGAAGAGATTTTTCTTCCCAAGTTTTAGACTTAGTTTAATCAAAACAAAGTTCTGCTCTCTTAACCCAGGCAGAAAAGAATAGACTGCAGTTTATTTTAAGGGTACAATGAGAAGCTATTGGCCCAAGAGAAATATGTTCTCCAGAGCAGAGAGGTCTGATAGAGGGCTCAAAAGCTGCAGACTGCAAAGGCAGTGAAGCTTTTACCTCTGGGAAAAAGAAAAAAAATGCCTGTTGCACAGTGGATTCAGTTTTTAAAAGATCAAGTTGCATTAAAAGAAAATATGAGATATTTCACATACACTTGAAAGAAAAAAAAAACTCTCCATAGTCAATATTGTATCACAGGAGATAATGTGGAAAGAGAAGCAATTAAAAATCCACCAATAAAAATGCAACTCAGCAAAGAAGCTGAGGGAAGGTGGTGGCCAGCAATGCATCTGGAGGGACTGAAGGGCATTCTTTGAAAGCCAGTCTGACCGCTATTGAGTTGCATCTTGAACTGAGAAGACAGAGCTAAGATGTGTTAATAGGAATTGTGCAGGGGGGCAGTAGTTACACTGAAGAAGTAAAATTTGCTTCTGATGCCTGTAGCGAAAGACAACAGCTCTGATTTTAGTGGCATTATAGCAGTAACATGAATCAAGATGTACAGTACACAGATGTGAAACTGAGCCAGATACTCTTTGCATTACTTTTAATTAATTAATTAATTAATTAATTAATTTTACACCAAATTTGCTCATGCAGGGACTTACGGATTGCTCTGGTTGAGTAGGAGTGGGATGAGTCAGCTAGCTCAGGTTCCTCCAGGTCACAATTTGCATTAATGTATTTAAGGATGGGATAAGCTTTGGTGAATTTGTAGTTCAACATGGGCATCTGTTCTGCTTATTGAAAGTATCAGCTCCATCTGATGCAAGTCACTGTTGGCTCCATTAACTCTGCTGGATCCCTGAATTGAAGTGTCAACTTTTTCTTTCTTCTCTTTATCAGTTTTATAATGTTACTTTTTAAAATCAGAGCATTCAGGACCAAGATCTGAACAGGTCAGCAGAAACTAAACCAGTCTTTATATATTCCTAAAGAAATTAAACTTAGACATTCTTATGCCCTCTGTGCATAAAAATGTACATTTTCATTTGTCTTTCAATCTCCCCTAGCTTAGCTATAAATTAGATTTGAACAGTGATTATCAGTATAAATCCACATGGAAGATGAAACCTRAACTACTCTTAAGTTTATCAACTCATTTCTTATTCCAAAACTCTTTTTATTTTTCTAGCCTATCTCCTGTAAAAAGCTCAAAAGACAAGACCCAAGCTGCCTCTCCTTAAAGTGCATGCAACTCCAAGAATGTTGTAAGAAGAAGAACTGAAAAGGACCTCAGGTTCACCTATTCCATTCCCCTATCCACAGGTAAGATTTAGGGTTTGATTGTTAAACTAATTAATTTAAATAGCACTTGCTTCATTTAGAAAAGAAGTGAGATTTTGCTGTGATAAACTTTTGTTTATTTAAGTAGACTTTTGGGGGAGATTGCTGCTGCATCTAAWCATTCCATCATCATCTTCAACAATTAGACCGTGAGGACTCTCTGTGCTTTGTGATAGATGAATGATCTCAAACAGCACGTGTGAATGAACTGAAAGATATTTCATTTTGTACAGTAATTTCTAGATTTCTAAAGGCAATAAAAACATTGAAATGATTATACCAATCTAACCTGTTTTGTTAGTGACATGAACAGATGTGAAATTTGCAGAAACTGCATAAAACACGGTATACAGACAGTAGACAGATTTTATGGCTGATAGGCTTTTTTCCCCTGTAGCTCTGAATCCGTTCGAGTTTGTTAGAGCATAAACACCCAATCTATTGTCAGGGTGAAAATGAGGAATGAAGGGTAGAAGGAATACTTTCAAACAGGAAAAAAATGAAATGAAGCTGACCAAAACAATAAAAGTCTGAGGTAAACTTCAAACTTTCTGTCCCATCAAGCGTATAAGACACATTTGCCTCAGGCCTCTTTAATTTGTGAGATTGACACATGTGTTGCTAAAGATCTTGGAAGGATTACAGCCTGGGGTAAAATTTTTCATTAGGATGAACAATCACTGAGCAATTCTCTTTAAAGTTTGCCAGTCAGGAAGATTTTCTTTCAACTGTGTGTACAGGGATCTCTAACTTACCGGWGATTGTCTCTAACTCTACTCTTTCCAGTTCTCCTTTTAGCAGCTGGGTTTCTCTGATTTGAATTGCAGCCTAATTCTGCAAGATTTTGGCAAGCAATACCCATTTCTTTTACTGCTTAATGGGCTTCCGTGATCTTCARTGTATTGCTGAAGCCTGTCCAAGTCAAAGAAAATTATATTTGCTATATTTGCGTTACTGGAAATTTTACAGGCTTTCACATGACCTTAAGATTGGCTCATGTAGGAGCTCATMCTTATCTTCTTAGCTTGAAATCCACTGGTCAGATTCATGGCACTGGAAACCCCGTTGAACATCTGGGCAGGAAACTGGCTTGATCATTTTAAAAGACTGACTTCCCAGAGAAGAATCACCATGTGAGCAGCTTTGGAGCCATGTGATAATTAGAACATGTGTGACAGCAGATGACCATAGTTGATCCACAATACTGACATAGAGGTACCAGCAACACCCTCTGTAGACTTTGGATCAGTTTTTCCTGAAAATCTCTTTGGAAACTGAACAAAACCTGCACATAGATAAATGGATGTGTGGTATAACAACAAAGTGAGAGCAAATAAGCCAGTTAGGTGATTTCTTTGATTACTTATCTGAAAAAGTCATTTCCCAAAGAAAGCTTTTTTACTCAAAATAAAGAAATGCTAGTTGATCAAATGAGGTTGTAAATAGCCTCATATGGCTTTTTGAAAAAAAAAAAATTGCTAAATATTCAGAACAGGATAGTGAGATTTTAATAAAAGGAAAATCACACAAAGCCCAAATATAGAGTAGCTTTGCACCTTACACACATGGACATGTACTTTATGAACAGTCAATGGGACTAAGCWCCTGTTTAAAAAGAGTATAATGTTAGAGTGTTGATAAAAAGCTCTTTTACATAATTTATTACATTCCATTATTAGTCTTTAATATTTTTCTGATTCTGTAAAAGAATCAGCTTCCATTTTTCCAGCAAAGCTTGTAACAGGGCAATTATATAGTATGCTGGAGTGCATCCTCTGGCACTATAGCRTGAGCTAATTGCAATATTCTGAGCTAGGTTATTAGCTACCTTTTCCTACCCAAAATTGCAGTACTTCTCCACTAAAAAAAAAAAAAAGCCCTGCCTCATTAACCTGCTTCATTTGTGTATGAGGGAATCCGTCAACTCAAGTAGCTCAAAGAAAGASTCATTTTCCTGACATAATTCAGAAGAAATATTTATGTATAGCAAGTGAGAACATGGAAAAACTACTTCAGAGTACCCACTAGGGAGAGTTGTTTGGAACAGCTGTAACTTGATTATTAAGAAAATAAAGTTTAATGGGTATAGAAACATAAAAGCCACAAAGCCATTGTTTTTTTAGTGCATAAACAAACATTGGCAGCCTTGACAATTGTGAATGGTCTTCCCTGCCTACTCTGTACTGTTTAACAGGTGGCATTTTGTACTCAGTCTTCATCAATGGAATAATTTGCCTGTTAAAAAAAAAAAAGATAGTATCTTCACAAATAATTGCTACTTCTATACATAACTGGCTTAGTAAGTTAAGCAGCAGGGGTGAAATCTTGGCAGCATCAAAGCAATTCACGTTTACTCTTGTGGCTTTTGGGACAGGCTGCCATTGCTATTTAAAGCAAAACTTTGAGGAGGAATTCTCATAGTTGCCAGGTAAGAGTTCAGCAGCAGCTTAATTAGTGATGCAGGTGACCAAGTCCTCATCCAAGAAGACTGTATGTTAACTGGTGGTATTTAGAAGAAATACAGCACACTTAGAAATCATTTGCATGGCARCAACCTCTCAAATTCCAGACAAAACCCAGATATGTATTCTGTGACAAATGTGCATAAAAATAAACCTAGCCCCTTTCCCAGAAAGCTCACTCTTTGACTATGCAAGGCAAAGGATAAGAAAAAAATAGTCAAGTGTATTTTATAGATACAATAAAGATTAGGAAAGATGAAGTGAAATCTACTCAATATTCAACTTGTGCTTCAAGAACAGAACTTTCCTACTTAGGTGCTATATTTTAGAAGAAATGGTTGTATCAAATGCATTTAGATTAAAAAGCTTCAGAGAGCCATGCTCAGAGCTAAATTGGTAAGCAATGTAACCATAAAGATCATACCTTTTCTGGTTTCTAAGTCTCAAATGTCTCTGACCCTCATATTGTAAAGAGAATTTCTTCCCTTGTTAGAACTGATTGCATACAAATGTGTACTTTTTAACAACACTATCAAGAGAAAATATTTTTTTTCATCTCATGCTGCTTTTCTGCCTCCTTTCTGACAAGCATAACATTATGCAGAGAAGCATAAAGCTCAATGATCCCCAAAACACTTAAATAATCCCGTGAGCTTCCTATAGTCAGCTGTGATGCTTTCCAGTAGCCGGCATTCAGAAAGGTCTTGCACGTGCAGCAGCCAGCCCTTAGTGTGCCCTATATCTGACTTTCTCCTTTAAGGCTTCCCCTGTCACAACATTACCCCCAACACAGCCCTGTTTAAGAGTTTCTTTGCAAAAAAGGAAAATTGGAGTCAGCTATCTCAACAGTTGCTAATAAAGCTGCTTGGCTGGACCTGCCAGAACAACCAGTTGCTTCTGTTATCCATCACTGAGCTCATTGGTTTTAGCTGATTTTCTGGCTTAAAACCACTGATGAAAACTCAGCAGTTGCCAGGGAACAAACATTTAGAAGAAAAGTTGAGTAGTTTTATGTAGCGTGTTTAAAAATAAGAAGATACTTGGATAAAAACACACACATGTAACAGAAATACTCTCCAACTGTAGAGAAGACACATGATTATGTAATGAATGTGCCACTGGAGCAGTTCTGTCAATGACAGTGCTTATGAAGTTTGTTTTCAGAGGAAGAACATGGAGAAATACCTATTTCTAAGGATATTAGAAGGAGTAGTGATTCAACTTGATTTAAATTACTAGAATAAAATCAGAGCTGATTCATTATTATTGTGATTATTAGCARAAATCAATTGATGCCCAGTTTGCATTTTCACTGCAAGCCTGTCTGGTCCTAGTGATGGGAAGGGGACAGGATTMCTAAGTGTTCTTGCTGAGTTGAAACCTAGGAGTTTAAAGTAATTGAAAATAAGCAAATATTGTCATTAGCTGATTTTTAGGTCGAAAATGAAACCTTGACTTCCTGGTGAGGTTACAGCTTTGAGGGGAAATTAGGAGGGAAAAGAAAAAAGAAGTGCAAGTCATAAAAGGAGTTTAATTTTCATTCTTAGTGGAAGTCATTCATAATTCAAAAAGTTAACTTTAGACCAACTGCAGCCTTCCTACATGATAGAAATACATCCATTTTTTTTTTTTTGTCTTGTGCTTGATGGGGGAACTGTATGGCATTTCCATGAATGTCCTTTATTTTGTGGACTGGCATAGAAAACAAAAAAAAGAAATTTTGGAGGGAGTTTTAGAAGTTCATGATGAAGAAGTGTTAACTTTTAGACATGGGGTGTAAGTTTTGCTTTTCTCACTGAAAGATCTTTTAAAGCAAGACATGTGCTTAAAGCGATGTGTGCTTCTAAGCGATGTGTGCTTCTAAGCCACACATACAGGGAAAGTTTGTGAAAGTAAATTAGACCTTCACTTGCTTTTCTGCTCTTCCTTTTGTCAGAAATGAAATCTTCATTTTGATCAAAGGAGTAGTCTTTGATACCAAAAGAAGCATAATTAGTTCTGTTTAAATTTTGGTAAGGAAAAAGGAAAAGCAGATATTTCCACTGCTTTATATATTCTTCATTCTTTCTATGTGTATATTCTACACATAGAAACTTCTGCTGTCTTTTTCTTACTCAGACAGGTGGCTATAGATTCTGCTTCTCGGTGTAACATGTCTCAGTTCTGCACATTATCCCCTGTGAGCTGTACCTTAAGGATGAAGAAAGCCACATCTTCATCATTTGTTTTACTCATGCTGTGAGAGCAGCTGATACACTACAACCCCAAAGACACAAAGGTCAATTCACCACTTCCCAACAGACCAGCTAGTAACAGTCAAGTCCTCCTGGTTCCTTTCCTTTTCAGGAGACTATTGATAATCTTTCTGAGCAGTCAAATCAATACTTCCTGCTCCATAGTGCCAATTCCATGCCAAACACGGTGTATATGCTCAGCATGAGTCTAGGAGCTTTTTGGCAACTTCAAGCTAGGAAAGTCTAATTAATTCATCTCTGAAGCCACAATGTAAATTAGGGACTGGCTCAATTTGACTCTGCAGGATGTTCTCACAGCTGTCTTCCCCCTCACAATCTGTTTCACCTCAGAACAAGTGAAGTGCAAGGCTAGCCAGCGTGTATACTGAATTATGCATTCAAATTGCTTGTGCTTAAGCCCCTAAAAACATCCTAATGGCTTAATTAAGCCAGAAACTGTGCAATGCATCTACTTAAATCTTCACTTCCAGATCTCCTTGTCTTTGGAGGAGCTGGCAATGTGTCCATAAGCAGCAATAAGACAGTAAGCATAACTAGATTGATAGGAAATCGTTGACATG